AAGATAAATTGAGATATCGAGGCGAGTTGAACCTCACACGTTTTTTGTAAAAACATTCTCTAGAGATATTGTTAAACATTCTTTGTAACACCATAATAACCATGTGACATCATGTGCAAATAGGTTTTTACGTAACTAAGAAAATATTTAACTAAAAAAAAAATAATAATAAATAATAGATAACTATTACTTTTAGGCCTAATTTTTTAAATAATTATTAAAATAAAGTTTTTAAAACAGTCTTTTAAGTAAGAGTATACTTTACAACTTATTGCAAACATATTTAACATATTTTTTTAGCTTTACTTTATTATTTTTCATATTTGTATTGATTGGGTTTAATAGTTGTATTTGAACATTTAACAATTAAGCATTGTTTAACATTAACAGAATAAATTTGTTTTATAGCATTTTTAAAGCATTGTTTTATAAAAAAAAGTAGTTAAAATAATAAAAAAACTTACGAAAAAAAGTAAGAAATGTTTTAAACCTTTAAATTTTAGGTTCTTTTTTTTTGTTGTTTTTAGTATAATATTATATAATAACTATGTAATAATAATATTAATAATAATAATTATTATTATTATTATAATATAATGGTAATAAATAGTGATGAACTTAATAGTATCAGTAGTGCCCACTTGTGTGTTTTGATACAAAGCTGAAGGCATCTATTAAGAACAAAAAAGGCAAGAATAGATTTTTTAGAGCAGTTATGTAATTATGTAAATTAATGACAATATTTCATTTTAAATTTGTATTTAAAATGACATTTTGTTACTAATTTTAATTATATTATTAACACATTTTGTATGGTATATTTATAATATTAGTTAACTTTAAAAGATTTTGCTAACTTTTTTTAAGTCTTTCATGCTTAAACTATTTTGTTTTGTATTTAAAAAATTTTGAAAACCACAAAATTTTCTCTGAAAAAAAATAAAAATCACAAATATAAAAATTGCATTTAAATAAATTACAAATAAATAGAATTGTTAATAATTGTTATTAATAGAGATATATGCAATTATAACTATATATAATTATAATATGAAAATGTAAAAACAATATGCAATAATTAAATGTAAAAAATCTACTTTATGTACAAACTCTATGTACAAACGTCTGTAAGTATAAACATCAGTTACAAACATATATAATATTATGCATAAACAACTATAAGTGTAAGTTTCAGTATTAGTGATAGTTGGTAAGTTGATTTGGCATATTGTATGGTTATAAGAGATGTGTATGTATTATGTATAATATAAGAAAATTTTGAAAATATTTCTAAAAATTAGTCTTTTTTTCTTAAAATTTTTTGTTTTGAGTTTTTGTATGCTTTTGTATATTGTTTACTTCAAAAAAGAAACTTATTATAATTGTGTATTGTTTCAAATATTTTCAAATCTAACAAGTTATTAAATATTAGTTAAACTCATTTCTGCTTTACTGTCAATAATGCTATGTAACAGTATTATTGACAGTAAATTTTTGTTTTTATTTTTTTTGGGTTAAAAGTGATTTTTTTTTTTTTTTTTTTTTTATCAAAAACAAATAAAAGCTGTTGTTCAACAAAAATTTTACTTTAATGACTGGGTCAACAATATTTTCAAATTTGTGTGATCTTGATTTGTATTAAATACTGATTATTATTTTAGAATATTTCTGAACTGTTAGAACTATCCAGAAGGTATGAGAACTTTTACAGAATATTCTCAAACATTTTAGAAACCTTTAGAACTTTTAAACAACTTTTCTGAATTTTCTAGAACGTTTTTGAACTGTTCTAAAGTACTCATAAAACCATAAGAGCGCAGGTGACATAAATCAACATTTCAGTTTGTTGTATTGTTAAATAAAGGAATAAGTAATACTAATAATGGTGAATAAAGGAATAAGTAATACTAATAATGGTGAATAAAGGAATAAGTAATACTAATAATGGTGAATAAAGGAATAAGTAATACTAATAATGGTGAATAAAGGAATAAGTAATACTAATAATGGTGAATAAAGGAATAAGTAATACTAATAATGGTGAATAAAGGAATAAGTAATACTAATAATGGTGAATAAAGGAATAAGTAATACTAATAATGGTGAATAAAGGAATAAGTAATACTAATAATGGTGAATAAAGGAATAAGTAATACTAATAATGGTGAATAAAGGAATAAGTAATACTAATAATGGTGAATAAAGGAATAAGTAATACTAATAATGGTGAATAAAGGAATAAGTAATACTAATAATGGTGAATAAAGGAATAAGTAATACTAATAATGGTGAATAAAGGAATAAGTAATACTAATAATAAATAGTAAATGTAGAGCACTTTGAAATTTAAGTGACATAAAGAGGTTGTTTGCATCCAATAGATGCATTATCTGCATTGCACTCATTAATCCCGCAAAGCTTTACTCAGGCTTATTTAAATATTGTTTACAACATATTATAAACAATATACAAATAAACATGGTATATTTATCTAATTTTTTTAAATTTTCAACCAGGTGTTTCTATGTTTTATAATAAGTAATTGAAGAGTTTTTTTTTATTTGTTTGATTTATAATTTTGTGTATTACTTTTTGTTTTAAATTATGTTGAGTTTTTGTATATAATTTGTTTTTATTTATAAACTTTTTTATATATTTGTAGATTTATGTTAAACTATATTTTATTTTTGTGAATTGTGTTGAACTACATTTTTTTCAACTTTTTTTAGATATTGAATTGCGTAAAGTTGTAAGAGCAGCAATCAAAGATTTTCATGATTTTACATGCATTAAGTTTGTTCCACATGACAACCAGAACGATTACTTGTCATTTGTTGCTAAAGAAGGGTAAAATTTTACTAATTTTGATTGTGTATGACTGAATTCTAGAAAGTAAAATTTTATTATAGGGGCATATCAAATATGTTTATCATAAATATTTTTTTACTTTTGGTTATAGTCAATTATATATTTTATATATATGCACAAAATATAAAATTATTTTTAGGTGTTATTCAGAGATTGGCATGGTTGGTGAAGAGCAAAAAATTAGCATTGGACCAGAATGCAGATGGAAAGGTCAAAATAATTTTTGTAACTAAGTATTAAAGAGTAAATAAATTCAAGTTTTTATGCTTAAAGAATAATTTATGCAAGTTATGCTTTAAATTTTGTTGTTTAAGCAAGCAATTTTTATTTTATTATTTTTTTAATTCAATTTTATTTTAAACAGGTACAACAATTCATTTAATCATGCACTCGTTAGGCTTTCTTCATGAAACCTCAAGAGTGGATAGAGATACAGCTATCAAAGTTATTGAGAGTAATGTAGAACCAAGTAAACAGATTTTTAAATAGTCGTTTTAATCCAGAATGTATTATATACCACATAACTTGTAGTGCTATCATTGAACTATTTGGTACCTAATATATTTATTTTCACTGAAAATTTTAACTATTTATTATTATTATTATTATTATTATTATTATTATTATTACTGATATTGTATATATATATATATATATATATATATATATATATATATATATATATATATATATATATATATATATATATACATATACATATATATATATGTATATATATATGTATATATATATATATATATACATATATACATATATATATATATATATATATATATATATATATATATATATATATATATATATATATATATATATATATATATATATATATATATATATATATATATATATATATATATATATTTATATATATATACATATATATATATATATATATATATACATATATATATATACATATATATATATATATATATGTATATATATATATTTATTATTATTATTATTATTATTATTATGTACATATATATATATTTATTATTATTATTATTATTACTGATATTGTATATATATATATATATATATATATATATATATATATATATATGTATGTATGTATGTATGTATGTATGTATGTATGTATGTATGTATGTATGTATGTATGTATGTATAAAAATAGTGAGATGTTATAGTGATAAACTTTTTATTACTTAATAAAAGATAAAATATAGCGTTGTGTATTATATAAACTTATAACAGATAAAATAAATATATAAAATATAAAAATAAATAAAAAATTAATATAACTATAAGGTGGTATATTATTTAAAAATAGAATACTACTTTTTTTACAAATATTTTTAAAAAACTAGATACTAAATGAAAATCTGAAATAGTTTTAGTATTTTTAATGACAGTTAAATGCGTATTTTAATGTTAACTCACACATGATATTCACTGTTACATCTACACTACAGTAATTCACACATGATGTGTATTCACTGTTATATCTACACTATAATATCTGTATAACACTGTATAACACTGTATAATATCTGTATAAATGTATAATATCTGTATAACACTGTCTATAACACTATCTATAACACTGTTATATCTACACTATAATAACTCACTCATGATGTACATTCACTGTTACTTTTACACTATAATAAATGATGGAACTTTACTATCTCTGTTTTGAAATTTTTTTTTAGAATGGTTTTTGCTAAATTGTTTTTTTTTTATTCAGACATGGTTATCTTAATTTGTGATAGTTATCTTGCATTTTATTTTATAAAGTTGATTATTTAATTTGTTTACCTTAAAGTAAACTACTCTTTATCTTAATAGAACATTTACCTTAAAGTCTCTTTTAAAATATTAAAGATAGTTTTATGTTTGATAAATAATTTTTTTAACTCTAAAAAATGTGTAAATTCAATAAATTTTACGATTATTATTATTTAAAAGATTTATATAACAAAAATTATTACAACTAATTTGATAATTGTTATACAATTTTATAATTGTAAAATATTAAAATAATTTCTGATCATTGTGTTCAATAATTCCAGCAGTAATTCCTCAATAACTTGATAGATAGTCTCTTTTGAGTGATTCAAAGACAGTGGCTTGTTAGCATAGAC